TCTTTTTTTCCAATTAAAAAACAGCTGGTCCAAATTAGGCATCTCTCCTGTATGTAAATATAATGTAAAACAACAATAATATTTGTCGTTTATTTTGGATAATTCTTAACTTCTATGGTTTACAAACTTATATAATGTTCACATAATAGTAAAGCAGAAATGTAATAAGTTTTTTTTTAATTGATTCATTAAATTGTTGTAAAAATTCTGTAAATTTGTATTTTTCTTCTTCAATGTCTTAAAATGAAGGTGATTCTTAGAAATCGGTTTAAAGAAGTTTACAGAAGTGAAATAAAAAAATAAACAAAAAAGAAAAAGTGGATTCTGTTCCATTATTTATCTTCTTCGATCTGTATATGATCTTGTCCAGTGCGTGATTCATGAGACGGAAAATGTCCAGTGTAAATTTATAAACTGGACAAGAGTAGTTCAAATGTAAAGACGCGGCCAGCTGTAATATAAATTAGTCGTTTTTTTTACTTTGTTTCTTTCATCCTAAAACCGATCACCCTGTATATAATCGACGGGGTTGGATCTTCAGAAGGTGGCATCGGCGAAACGCGCATACTGGACTCTCCTCCGCTCGGCGCATAAATCCCGTTCGAAAGTGCAGTTTACTGCAATTACAGAAACATTCATTTGAATATAAATTGTATTCAAACGTTCGGGCATTTTACATAGCCGCATACTGCGAAAGTTTTTGGTATTGGTATTGTGTGTAAATTGCGACTATTAATAACGTCCCGTGGAATATCAATATGTCCAATCGGATAAGTACGCATCTACATAATTCATGTATTTAAATATCGGACTGGTTTGCTTATTACCTTATCATCCCGTCATCGGCCTGCAAAATGTATATATATATATATATATAGGCAAATACACATCTGCCGCGACCGCCGTCCATTCTTTTCTCTCCTTTTTGTCCGCATTTCTACTGACCCTCCGATGGCCTTTTCCATACACACGCACACATACGCATATATATACACATACACACACACAAATACATACGTAAACACGTAGCATTGGAAAGCAAACGTTTTGCTGCAGTAGCCCCCATTCTCTTCCTCCACCTCTTCCATCCTCCTATCCAGCAGGACCTGTCAATAATACTCGGACCTTTCCCCGATCACCGGATCACCGGATTTATTCGAGCCGTTCATCTGTCTTTATACCCAGTACCAATGCATGTCCATGACGTTTGTTTTCTTGTTTACTTTTGCATTTGTCTGTCAGCTTGCACATACAATATATCTAACTGCACTCCCCCAATCCATTCATCTCTTCCATCCGAATCGCAAATCAAACTTACAAAACGAAAATACTCATAGAACTATACACAAATCACATCGCATCATATCACCATCATCTTCGACGGCGACGCCAGCGCCATACTCATATTGCTGCTCCCTTTCGTGTTTTGTTTCCTGTCACATCCTCTAATTAACGGGAAATCCTTGATGCATTGAACGTTTACATTATTGTTGTTTCGTTTCAATCTCCAGAAATTTTAAAATCTAACCAAATTTAACTATCATACTATGAAAGTTAAATCTATATGATAAATACCAGCATTTCTTAATCTTTGGGTTGCGAAATGACACCTGTCACCTTTTATCAAAACGAGAAACTCATGAAATGGTATTTCAATGATTTTCAATTATTTAATTTTAAGTCTACTTTAACTAAATTATGATCTTCGTTAATCATAAGAAAGTTAAATCTGTATAAAAATCCAGCGTTTCTCAACCTATGATAGCTATCATCTTGTATCAAACCGAGGAATTCATGAAATACTCTTAAAATTTGGTAATAGAACTACAAACAAATATATTAGGTCGCACGACATAAAGCTTGAGAAACTTATTACACTTGTTACTAGTATTAAATGATATTTTCTTAATTTTCTAATATTTAATAAAAAAAATGTATGTTTTAATTCAATCATTATAAGAATGTTATTTTTTTAGAAGATTTACCTTTTCTATTAATTTAATTATTTGCTAATTACTCGGATAGTGCCGCTTCGATTTGTCCGGATTCACTATAGTCTAGTTTGAAATTTTCAAAACAAACTTTTCCTCTTTATACAGTCAAGTTTCTTTTTGTACGGATTATTTTTTGCTTAGTCCGGTATATTGACAAAATTCTGTATTCCTGTATTTAGTTTTTCTCGATTAGTCTGGTTTCTAAAAGTCCGGTATATTGGCGAAATCGATTACACGGACTATATTGCTTTACTTATAATTAACGAGACCATTCAAAATTAAGACTTTATATTAAAAAAAAAAGTGTTGTTATATAAAGATTTGATTATGTTAAAATAGAAATATAACGATTTATTGAAGATTTTTTTGTTGTAAAATAATCGACTTAAAATAGTATACCTAAAGTTCTACTTACTAATGCATGTAGAGAGTAATGTATTGCCCAGATGTTTCTTCTCGGTCCATTCTCCACCTCCTTCGTATAATTTTATAAGGGATTTTAGTGCGAGAATGTATACGTATATGTATAGGTGTGTGTGTGTCGCCGTCGTTTTCTGTCCTGGTTTTTTCTTTGTTGCTTGTTGTTTGTATGGTGTTTGTATGGTGTGTGATGATGTGATAATGTTGACCAACGCGTTACTCTTATAAAATTTATTTCCATATAAACCATTCGACTGTTGTTCACATGTATAGAAACAAGCGGCAGCATGTATCTCGCATTCCCCGGACCGAAAACCTGCAGACAACTTATTTATGTTTGAATTGTTTTCAAAATGCCGACGTTTTCCCACTACTGGTTTAGCTTAGCCCGAATGGACTCATCGGTGTGGGGAATTCTAAAAACGTTCAAACGATTTTACGGAATCTTGTTCGGTCACGAAATCGCAAAAATCAAGTAGCTTACGTCGGCATCCATCCTCTTTCCTCTCCACTCCACCTTAAACCAACCGCAGACAGAGGAAATCTGGAAAATGAATCCTCCTCCACCGACGGCGGAAAAACAGCCGCAGACAAGTGAGACAAGCAAAAAAAAAATAAATAAAAATGTTGCATTTATACGTATGTACGAGAAGCCCTTTTCAAATTATTCATCATTACCTCAACGCAACTTCAATCACCCTGCTCTGCTTCTCCGCCGTAAGAGCATTCTATATTTAACGAAAGAATACAAAAGCTCAAAGATAATACGAATTTGAATTTTAAACTAAAAACGAAATATTATGCGCTTTTTTCTTTATTTATTTATTTTGTCCCTCCGGACTACTATCCACGAGGTCTGCGACCCTTCGCATTGAGGGTATGGTGGATCGTTTTTTTTTCTTTTATTTAGAAAGATATGCGAATATTTAATTAAGATATTACCGAGACGGGGGAATGAGTTTTTCCCCAGATTTAATTAAGTCTCTTCTCTTCTCGCCCATTTGAATATTTCCAGGTTTCGCTGAAATCAGTTTTTTTTTTCAAATGTCTCCTAAACCTTTCTAAGTTCTTTCTGATGCCGGTATGCGCGGTCACTCGTCTTAATTGATTTATTGTATCGAATTGTGTGATTTGTCGTCGCCGGTCGAGCAGTACATTCGTTGTTGTAAATGTGTCATCCGATCGGCTGAAAAATGGTCACTTTATATTGAATATTTTTATGGGAGCTGAGAGCTGCAGAAGAGGTGGACAAAAAAGTAAAGAAGGATCGCGCGAAGGACTGTTAAAGAAAAATGGACACGGGCGAGCGAAGAGGATGGTTGAGGTGGAATGATCTTTGTATTACGCGGATTCCGTCGATGGCAATAAAAGTAATGCAATTACCGCTTCTCGGTTACAGAAGAAAAAAAAAACAGTACAGCATAGTTGTATTAACAGACTCAAGTGCATTTTGAAGATATTTGATGGTAATATAATTGCCAAGCTTTTTCTTACTTCTCTTCTCTTATTTTCTTTTTACTCTTTTATTTCTCTTTGTGCTATTATTTTTTTAAATTCTGTTATAGTCAATATTTTTTACAGTAGATTCACATATTCTTGTCCTAATTTTTATTTCTATATATTGTATTTCAATAATATCAATCCAAATTACATGTTCAATGTCTCTAAAACTATGCATTCGTAGAATAGTTTTTGGGGTTTTGATGTGGCCATAAGTTTGAGACCACTGTTGAATTTGATATCTTTATATTGTTATTTGTATATTTGATTTAGTTTATTGTAGTTGAAATCCTCCTCTCCTTATATATATTTTTTTATATTTCTGTTTGTTGTATTTGATAGTAGTTTCTTCAATATTTAGGTGTACCAATTGCTAAGAACTTCCTTCCAGACCTTCATTTCCCAGAACATCCCTGTAGGATGCATTTAGGTACAGTTACATACACATTGTTACGTGCTTTATTATCTGTTTAACTTTGAAAATGATTTTATGCTTTTTGGACAAAACAAAAATATATACTAATACAGCTTGATATTTAATCTACAATAAAATATACTTTGCACTAAACAATGAAAGGAGTAAATATTTAACTAAATATAATTTTATTGTGTATGAAAATACTTGTAATAAAACTTATATATTAATTAACAACTATTTCGTTAAATATTTTTTTTAAGTAAATAATAAAAAAAAACTAATTTTCTATTTGTATAATTGTTGACTTTTAGAATATATATTAAAATCGTTGTAGTATAGTAAAATTAATTCTGAATGAATGTTCGGAAATGAATGTAATCAAATTTGATAAACTATTTTATTATTGCTTTTGGAATGTAAACATAAATATATAATATTTTTTTGGAAATTTGAAGTGCATCGAAAAATGGAATTTAAATGTGCAAAAAAAGCGCGCTCGGAATGTATGGGGGAACACGCGGCACGGCGCAAACGAATATAAGGGTTATGATATTAGTATTCAGGGTTAGGTTTTTGGGCGTTATGAAATTGAATTGAATGTTATACGCGCGTGCAGCGAGTGGAAAACGGCGGTTTGATAATATTAACAAAATTTTCCTTTGTTGCAGTCGGTCCTTTGTTTGGGGGCGGCTTCGGGAACGGTGCATACGCGTTCAGCATGCCGGGACTACCGCCGGCCGCCCACGCCATCGCCAAGAGCAGCTTCCTCTTCGACCACGGTGAGTAATTACGTAACTTTCACCCCCTTGATACCTCATTGCATTGTGTCTCCGACCTCCCCTGCTTAACACCGTTTCATTTCATCTCTTTATTCGCGCATTCCGCGAAGATAAGAGTGTCCATCTGTTGGCGCAATCTCTTCACGGCTGCAAAGAAAAGGGAAGCAGCGAACCCCCTCTTTTTTTATGGTCAAAAAAATCTCTCCTCTTAGATCTCTGATGAAATTAAATGCCGAGTTTTAATGTTCATTGGGTGGAAAAAAGTTCATATCGTCTCCGCCCTTGCCGTGTGGCAGACGCCCTGTCCTCCGAACGAAGAAGGGAATTTAATTAAGTAAAATTACACTGCTTGTACTTTAATTATGTTAGTATCAGACTTTTTACGGCGGGTGTCCTCGAGGGTGGCAGAGCCGTTTACACCATCGGTTTTGGAGCGGATGAACGATCAAAAGGTGTCGCTCAAAGAGCTCATCCACCCCTTAGGTGGTGGGATAGAGCGAGAGAAAAAGAGAGATTGAGCACCCCCCAGAAAATCCAGCGCGAAATTAAAAGTTTGAAGGAGCGAGATGAGCAACATCTTGCTGGGTGTCTATGGTAATGCGTTAACTATGCGTTGAGGTTGTGAGTATCCGCCTCCCTCGATTTATATGGGAGGAGAAAGAAACCCAAATCCCGTAAGAGGCTTTACCTAGGTAGGTATCATCGCGTTAACGAGACCATCAGATGGGTGAAAGCAGTTAACACCTTCTCGATTGCGCTGCTGCACCTGTGTTACCGGTGGCAATCAAAACCGACTGAATACAAGGTATAAAGGTGAACCGGCCTGGACCAAACAACAACAGCAACAAAAAAATCACACATATATATATTTATACACGTATACACACACGCATTCACACGCACACATCGTGGTACGGCTGAAAGAGGAGATGAAGAAGAAACCTTTAACCGTCATCATAATGTCCGACACCAATCATCACAGATTTATGGCTAGACAGCCGTAAGCCGCCACGGATGGCGATCTTTATTTTGAATTGTGGTCTTTACTATTGTAATGTCTCCGGCAATAAATACCTTAATAATTGTGGCGCGATTTGTGGCAGAGCCGGAGTTGCGAATATGTTAGGAATGTGATCTCGCTAAATGCCTCGATAAAAACTGAACGGAGAGAACGATGAGAGAAAGAGAGAGACTTGGGTCCCTCGGCGATGGTCACGCAAACGGGTTGCAAACGATCCGAGGGGGAAGGTCCGACCAGTCTAAAATGTCTCCCCCATCCCCCAATTCCATTCGTTGTCCCCCCTGGTCTAATCAAATAACCAAAATGCATTAACGACTGCGACTCTGTTTCCCTCGCATAAACACATGTACACTCTGGTCCCCCCAAATCTCTACACATCAACATCCCCACCGACCCTCAATTCATCCTCCCAATTTACACTACTAAATCGCTCGCAATCCATTCAACACCTGTAATCAAACATCATTAATCCCATTCACTTAAACCCCTTCAGCCCTTTTCAAATTAACTACAAAGATCCTGACATCTCTATTTGCACATTAATTTACTACTAATTACTATGAACATACTCAACTACAACCTAAAATATTTAGAATTTCTTACTTACATATTATTTAGTACTACTTTTACTAAAAAAAACTCATAAACAGTTTTAAATAATCAGTGAAAATATTACACTTTAGAACTAAAATAAATGACAAAGTAAAACGCAGCAATGTACACTCACTATTAGGTGCCGATATTTTCTAAAATCCCTGTATTTCTCGAGAGTCGGGAAATTTTGATATTATTGATGATTTTCTTAACAATTTTTTTTTATTTCTTACTAAAATATTTCTAATTCATTAAATTTATTAAAAGTCAAAAAATATTCAATTGTTACAAGGTTATAAATATATTTGTATAATATATAAAGTATAGTTTTCATTAAAAAAAAAACTACATCTATATTATTTGTGATATAAGACACATAAAGAGGTACATGTTAATAAATAAAATTTAATTGTCATTATCTAACGTTGACTTTGCATTATGCAACATAAAACTAATACATATGTGTCAGGTGTATTACTTATGAACACACGCAGCTGCTTCAATTATTGATGACAATATGTATTGCAATAATTGCAGATATAATACATTCATAATAATATCAATAAATATACAATAATAATAATAATTACTTAGATAATTATATATTAAAAAAAATGAATATAAGGGCTAATTTATCTTTGACAAATTTTTATTTAAATATAAAAAAAATTAAATATAATTTCTGTTTTTCTAACTGCTCAAATTTTATTGAAATAAAATACATTTTTTTTATTAAATATTTCAATTATATCGTGGAATTTAATATAATTAATTGATATGAAATGGTCTGTAAAATTGCTATACTTTATAACTACTTGTCCTGTCATCTAGATATGATATATTAATAAGAATTCATATATACTTTATTGACAGGAAATCTAGAAAGGCGACAGAGCCTGGAAATAATCTTAAATGAAAGCACAAACACTTTGTAATTATCAGAAGGTTAATGCAATCATATTTATAATAATTGCATAATAAGTACATACATTTTTTCTTAATTATTCAACTTACATAATTTGCGTTTTCCAAGCGTTTTAAAAAAAGTACTTATTTTACTGTACCGGAAATCCCGGGATTTTACAAACTTTCAATCCCGGGATTTCCCGGTTCAACAGCCTATTTGAAACCACACTAATCGAGGACTTTGAAACCGTGTAAAAATAAATTATAATTTACAATGTAATAATAGTGAAATTGTGAAGTATTATAAGTTTTGTGTTTGTAATTGAATTGAGACTACCACATGTTTAGTAGGGTCATTTTTCTCTACATATTAACAACAATGTAAACAAACAGGTTGCAACGTTCTGATAACAATGAAGTTACGTAATTGCGATCAATTTCAGGTGGATACGTGATAAAACTACTTACAAATCAATTGTGATTTATCCACACGACAATAGATAGTAAACACCCAAATTCAATAATAGTACAAATTCTGATTTTCCTTATTTATTTACACATTTCAATACTTTTTTTTCTATTAAGTAATTACAAATAATTTTTTAATACATTTTTCTTTTAAACTATTTTTTTGTTATTTACAATACGAAATTAAATACAATAAGTAGAAAATTCGTATTTTTCAATCAATTAAAAACAGATAGTTTCACAAATAGCAAGAATTGTATAATTTTTGATATATCCAAAAAAATCTCAATCAGACTGATTCTTTTTTTTTTGACATAATTTTAATTATTCGTTATTTACGTGTCTCCATCTGCGCACGTGGACAATTAATTGTCAAACATAAATCAGTTGCGACCTTGGAGATTGTAATCTGAGCAGATTACGGAAATTAGTCTTGATGAAAATCCGCTGATTAGAAAAAGTACCAAGTTGTCACAGAGTGAAAGGAAAAAGAAAACGAGAAGAAACAAAAAAAAATATATATATAAAGAAGCAGGGTAAATATTTGCGTGCAGAAACGTTTGGCAGTTAATGAGGTGCGGATTAAAATAGAAAACCTTTTGATAAATCGAGGATAAATGAAATGTTTAGTGTCAACGGTTACGTATCCATCTCTTTTGTGGATTAAAATGAGTTGAATCGATTGTTCCAAGTGGAATCTATTTCTATCCTTAACCCATTCAGTTTGTATTATTTTGTTCAGGCGGAAACATAACGAAGTCGAGGAATTCGTAAACATACCGTGCGTTTGGATATACTGAAATATAATGATCCTATGAAAGATTCCAAACGCAATATGTACTTTACGATCTTAAAGAGATTTGTTATTTTACGCAATTCCATAGCTTTGCCAATATTTTATACCGCAATTTGGACGCACTTCAAAAATTGATTATATTTTTACAAACTTTTTGAGGAAATTTTCTAATTATAAGGTTAATTACAACAATTATATAAATAATTATATATAGAAAATAATGAAATAAAATTTTAGCTTTATTGTAGTTATGATAAGAAAATGCAATAATAATTAAACATATTAATTTTTGTAATAAAATGTGATGCGATGGGATTTAATGATTACTTGAACGTTTGGATTTTGGAGCTGAATTAAATTATGTAGAAGGGAGACCCCTGCTGATCACCCCTCTGAAATAAAGACTTATTAAGAAGGTTGCACTCGTGCCAGATTCCAATCGACTTTGTCTTCGAATTTTAATATATGTTTTATTGTCAATTGAACTGTCTAAAAAAAATCAATAAGCATGAGATTTTTTTTTCTCTTAAAATTATCAAAACTAGTTTCAATTAATCTTTATATGTAAAGTAAATAAATCTTAATATTTTTTTGTTATGATTCATTCTTATGAAATTTCGCTAAAATGTCGATTATAGTTCTTTCTTTACCGATAAACTTCCTATCATAACAACAGTATCCATTCACTTGATTTTTATTAAGATTATTGAGATTGCTAAAAAATATATTAAAATTTAAGACAAATGACTTAATCTTATAATATTAAAATATCCTTTTTTAATTACGAAGAATTAAGAAATTATTGTTAAAATTAATATATATATATAGTAAATCGCTTTAATCGAAACTTACATTTCCTCGATTTATTTTTATTGATGAAATATATTGAATTATTTTTTATTAAACTTTGTATTTTATAGTTAACCTGAAGATGAAAATATTGTTTCTTTTGTTACAAAGTTACTAAAAGATGGTTACTAAAAGTAATTTTTACAATCTTCAGTTTAAAAACGTTAAACTGAACATTTTTTTTTTGTTTAATGATGTTTTATATAATATCCGTTACTAAACTTTGGTTTTATAGTTAACCTGAAGATGGAAATACAGATTTTGTTTTATCTCAAAATTACTGAATGACATTGAAAGAAATTTCTTGTCTAATGTTTAGTTTAAAAAAATCTAAACTGTACATATTAGTATTTTCTTAACATCGTT